CTGCACGCTCAGATCCCTCATCCAGGCTCCCTGCCTGCATCTCCTTGTCAGCCTTTGTGCCTGCATCCAGCTCTTTCATCCTCCCAGCCTTCTGTGCACCAGGGCTGGGCTGAGCTGCTGCTTGTTGTGATGGGCTGCTGGCATGCTCACATTCCAGAACATTCTCCCAAGGGCAGCCAGCTGTGAAGATGCTTCCCTGAGTCCTGAGGTGTTCCTGCTGCTTGCAGGAGGGAATTTTGGCTCTGGACAGCCTGGTGCTGTTAGTTCGGAGTGCTGATAGGAAAAAGCAGATTCCTCTGCTCCCCTGGGTTCTGGCAGGGGGTGCTGAGGGTTTCTGGTGCTGAGCTGCCCTGTGGTGTTTCTGTAGGTCCTGGGCCCAACGTGCCCCCAGTTTATGGCTTGGAGGTGTCTGATGTGCAGCGCTGGGAGGAAGATGTGCTGAAACCCGCCCTGGAGATCGTGGAGAGCTTCATCCAGGTACTGGGGAGCTGGGCTTTGGCTGGCTGACTCCTCTGTGGTCTCCAGGCCCCCTCACTTGGCACACAGCCTGTCCCTGCAGCAGGGCTGGCTGTTCCCATGCCCAACCTTGGCATTTCCTTGCAGTGCTACATTTGTTGTCTCAGCTGAACATTTTCCCTAATGCCCAGTGCTGCACATGGCAAAACTCTCTGTCTGCCTTGCCAGTGTGTGTCAGAGCCTGCCAAGCTCCCATCCCAACCTCTATGAGAGTGAACACAGGTAAATTTTGGTGTCAGAGCCCAACCTGAGGCATTATTTGATGTGCAGGGCCGTGAGCCCCCGGCAGAGCCCCTGAGGATGGAGCAGGACGAGGAGAACAAGCGGAGCCATCGCGTGTGCGAGCTCTGTGCCAGGCTCATCATCGGCGACAGGGAGTGGGCAGGTAGGGCCCTCACAGGGCACAGGGGGGCACCTGGGAGGGCTGAGCTGCTCTGGGCTGCTGGAGCAGCTGCCCTGTGGCCAGGTGACCCCCAGCTCATGATCGTGGCCTTTCAAAGGGTTGTTTGCAGGAGCTGTGCCACAGGAACCATCTGTTAGAATTTCCCCCCTGCCCTGGGCTTCTCTCCCTTCCCAGCACCCAGAAAACACACACAGCATCACACCAGAGATCTGTATGTGGCATCTGAGAGCTGCTGTGTTTATCAGGGCTCCTGGTCCTTCACAACACTCTGGATGCTTCCTCAAAAAAGCACAGAGCAAATCTCTCTCCTCTAAAATTCTGTTGTGTAAATGAAAATTTCATAATGTTTCTAATAGTTCAGCTCTAATATTTCCTACTTTTGTGTGTTTTTTTTTTTTCTTTTTAAACTATTCCTAGCTGTAATAGAAAGGGATTTTCTGTTTTCCATAGACTTACTTTAAAAGAGCTCAGCTGGAATCAGATTAAGTCAGTGAATTTATCTGTGCTGGGAGGCTCATGCTGAGAACCAGAAACAAAAAGTCATGGAGAAACTGGCTGCAGAAATGAAACTGGTAAATCTCCATGTGTTGCCCAAGTACAGGATGTGCAGGGTCATGGTTTAACCCCAGCATCTGAGCCCCCCACAGCCACTCCCCCACTCTCTGTCTCTGGGAGAGAGAATTGCAGAAGGGTAAAAGTGAGAAAATTGGTGGGTTGAGTTAAAGTTTAATAGAGAAAGCAAAGCAAAACTAGGAATTAATTCACTGCCTGCCATGGTTGGGCAGATGCTCAGCCATCCCCAGGAAAACTGGGCTCCATCACATCTGACATGACTTTGGGATGACAAATGCCATCATCCCCATGTCCTCCCTTTCCTTCCCCCCAGGAGGTGTGAGCTGCATGGCCTGGGGTAAGCTGGGGTCAGCTGTGTCCCCTCCACCCCCCTGTGCACCCCCAGCTCCCTCTGTGTTGCTGTGAGGAGCAGGAAAGGCCTTGACTCAGCTCCAGAGCTCCCAGCAACAACAAAACATCCCCGAGTTATCAACCCTGCGCTCAGCACGCATCCCAACACAGCCCCAGAGCAGCTACTGGGAGGGAAACCAACTCTGCCCCAGCCTAAACAAGCAGCTGAGACACAACCAAAGATAAATTTCCCAGGTTGTTGGGCTTGAAGGAGTTGCTTATTCCTGGCTGAGGCAGGGAAGTGCTGAAAGCAAAGGCTGGAGCTGCTCTTTGGGGGAGGCTCCTTGCAGGGAGATCAGTGTTATTTTATCTCAGCTGCCTCAGGAGGTGCTTTGAAGGAGCTCTGTTTGTCCAGAACTGAAAACTCTCGGGGTCTCTGGCATCCTTTAGGTCCATAAAGGTCTGTTTTGAGTGGGAGCTCCTTGAGGTCCCCCCAAATCCCTCCATGTCCTTAGGGATGTCACCCCAGACTCCAATAAATGGTGACAATATCTCCCTCAGCCCAGATCAGCTGTTATTCTCTGTATCCAGCTGAACTGGGCTCAGATCCACAGATGGTGGGAGAAAAACGCTCCAAAGCCTGCAAAATGGAAAAAAAGGAAGGTGAAAACAGTGGTGGGAACTGGGTGGATCTGCACTCTGCTCTGTTTGCTTAGGTCAGGTGACAGCGGGTTTTGGGAACTGCTTTCCCAGCACCCTGCTGGCTCTGGGGGATTTTAAAATTGTAATTTTACAATTTATATGGACTTGAAGAGCACAACTCCCAGACAGCAGCAGCAATTGGCACTTCCTCAGCCACTGTAGCTTTGGTGTTGCTTGTGACAAATTGCAGGAGGTGAGACTTTATCTCAGGGTGAGGGTGACCCTCCAGCATTGTGATAAAGCAGCAGCTTTGCATGTGATTTCATCCTTTGGCAGAAAAAGAATGGCTGGAAAACACCTGAGGGCCTTGATTCAGCAGAGCACATACCCTCATTTAATTAAGGCCCTGCTGGAAAAGTTTGTGCTTTAATTGCTGCTCTGATCTCTTGGAAAAGGCAAAACCACCCCGCCAAGATGGTCAGACAAAGCCTCCCCTGAGATAAAACCGCTGATAAGGAGGTTTGGCTGTCCTTAAGGATGTGATTTCATGGAGAAATGCAGCTCCTGCTGCTCCAAGCTGAATCCCTGGGATTACCCCTCTGTTCCCATCTGACTCCTGCTGCACTGCTCTCATGGCTGGGGCACTGCCCTGGAGTTATTCCGTTTAATTCTGCTCCAGGCTTTTCCCTGGCTGCCCTGTAGGATGCACAGCATCTTGCCAGTGCTGTGGTGCAGGGATCCAGTCCTGCAAACCATCCTGGCAGCTCTCCATGGGGAGCAGGGAGTTGCACAACCTCACCTGCAGCCTGCAGAGTGGCACCTCTTGGGCAGCACATCCCCTCTTCCCTGGAGAGGCTGGCACTGACAGCCTGGAATCTTCTGCTTGCACAGAACCAGCATTTTTCCCTCTCTCAGTTCTTCCTTTGTCCTCTTCTGAGCCCTGACAGTTTGGCCTGGAAGTGTCCAGGGCAGGCTTTGGGAATTCGCTTTTCTCTGGGAGTGAATTGTGCTGGCAAGGGAGGGTGCTCTGCCCTGCGTGGGGGGGGTTTGGCTGCTTCCTCCTCCAAATTCCACAGATTAAAGGCTCTGTTTGCCTCTTCCTCCAGCTCACACACGTTCCAAATCCCACCTGCACCACCTGAAGAAGAGGAGGAAGCTGGAGGCATCCGGAAGGACCGTGGGGGACAGTGGGGACACAGAGACCTCGGATGAGGATGGCAGCCTGCCTGTGCCTTAGGGCTGGAAAAGGGAGCAGCTGTGCATCCACCTGCATGGAGAGGAAGCTCCTTAGCGCTGGGCAGCCTTGAACCAAGGAGCTGAGTCATTTTTTTTGGGGGGGGGTGAGGCAGGTGTGTGACGGCAAAGGCTGCATGGCATCCTCTTCATGTGGCCTCATCCCGCTGTGTTCCCATGCTCCCCCAGCCCTGCCTGGAACGGGCTGGGCCCCGGGGCAAGGCTGCTGGGAGCCTCCTCCCATGCAAAGTGTGAATTCCTGCCAGGGCTGCATCCTTGGAATGGCTGAGCTGCTGCTCTGTGGTTGTGTGGATCTCAGAGACAGAAATACCCCGACTCCTCCAGCTTGGCCGGGGGTGCAGCTCCGGAGCCGAGCCAGCTCTGCTTGCCTTTATTGTGGAGAGGATATTTATTTTTTTTTTTTTTGTTCTTTTACATGCAAATAAAGCTGCAGGATTATTGTGGGTTCCCCTCCCTGTTAACAAGCGTGGTTTCCTTGCTCTCTCTGATTGTACCTGGCTCCTGTTCTCTGCTCTGGGCACAGGGCAGGAGATCTGGTTCCTTGTCCCAGTCACCTTTTCCACAGCTCCTGGGGGAGCTGAGCAGATGTTCCCAGCCTGATGGGGGCAGGGAGCCCTGTGCACACAGCAGGTGCAGGAGGAGCTGGCACCTGTTAAACAGGAACTTGGAAATGATCTCATCGAGTTTGCAACAGATGAGCCTGTCCTAGTTAAGGCAGAATTCCCGGGGGGTTACACTGTGGTTTGGCACTGGGAACCAGCCCTGAATTTGAATCCAAAGCTACTGAGCAGCAAATTCCTGGTGCTGTGTCCGCCAGGCAGTTGGTGTCCCATTGTTGTTCCTGGAGGGTGTGAGTGCCATTTGTGCCTGGAATGCTGCTCTGGTGAAACCAGGACAGCCTTTGGCATTCTCCTGGCAAATTCAAAGCCAGGAAGGTTTGATGGTTGGTAGAGCACAAGTTTTTCCTTGTGCTGTGCCATGTGGCAAGAGCCAGGGCTCATCCTGCCAGGGAAGAGCTGCGTGGGTGGATTTGCTGGTGCAGGCTCTGGAGATTCCTGCTTTGGTGGGGATTAGATTAAACCTCCAGTTTGTGTTCCTCAGCGTGGAATTATTCCTGTAGTGCCCCGTGGGGTGCCTGCCTCGGGCTGTGGGAGGGAAAAGCTGGGAATTTGGCACTGGGCAGAGCTGGGCACCAGCTTTGGAATGCTGGGCACTGCGGTGCTGCTGGGTCTGTGCAGTGCCAGCTGAGCCTCTTCTCCAGCCCAGACTTGTTTGCCATCCNCTCAGCCCGCAGCCTGTCCCTGTCCTGGCACTGTCACTGATGGGACATCAGTGCCATCAGCTAACAGCACTGGGTGTGTGCCTGAGGTGCTCCCGGGCCAGCTCCTGCTGCATCCTGCGTCCCACACTCTGCCAGGACACCTGCCCCACTCTAAGGGATGGAGTCCCAGTCCCCTGTTCCCATTTTGGAGACTTTTTCAGGGCCCCAAAGCACCTGGGGACACAGGGCTGCTCGGGGACACTGTGCCTTGTCCCCATCCTCTGCACAGCAGCTGCGGTGGCAGCCCTGGTGCCCTCCCCATGCCCACCCTGCCCATGGGACTTACTTTCAAAATCCAGGAAAAAATGAGGACAGTTTTCTAAATCTTTGCCCAATACCTTTATCAGGTTGCCCATGGCCAGCAGACCTGAGCGAGAGAAACAGAACACAGTGGAACAGCACCGGTGCCACCAGAAGGACACACCAGCCCCCCTGAGCCCCCAGGGGACACCACCATGACACCCCTGAGTCCCCAAAGGCCACCACCATGGCATCCTTGAGTCCCCAAAGGCCACCACCATGGCACCTCTCTGTGCCCACCCCAATCCCTCCTGGCTGGGCACGCTGCTGGGAGCATTCCCTGCAATGTGACAGCTCTCCCAGCACTTCTTGAGGTGGGAAGGGAAGAGGGGTGAGAGCCTTGTGCTCCTGGGGCACCCCTGGTCATTCTGCCACCCCTGAGACACCCCAGTTCTCCAGCCCTGGCATCCCCAAGGGATGGGGGGCAGCCCCAGGTGACCCCCATGGTGTCATGCCAATCCCCTGGGTTATGGGCCTGGGCATTCCCCATGGACAGGGGAGACCCCAGGCAGGAATTGTGCCCCACAGACTCGGTTTGGGGGTCTGGTGCCTGCACCAAAGCTTCCCACCCACCCCACTGAGGGTCCTTACCTCAGTGCCTGGTGTGGCAGCGGTGGCTACGGCAGGAGCAGGGGCTGTGCCACCCGCCCGGGTCACTTCATGGGCCAGCAAGGAGCTGTGGGCAGAGGGCAGGAGGGTCAGGGCACCCCACAGGGCCCTGGGGACCCGTGGGTGGGTGTGTGACCAGGAGGGACACTGCATCTGCCCTCTATCTCATGCTGCCACCAGCCTTCACCTCATTTACCTTGGATATTTTTTACTGGCATCGGGCTGAGCATCCCTGTCCCTCTTCACCCCTTGTGGGACCTGCCAGCAGCTCGGGGACACCCCAGAGTGGAGCCATCTGTCCCCAGCCCTCCTCGGAGAGGCCAAGATTCCCAGGGATGACTTTGCCAGCTCCACTGCTTGGGTTTACTCTTTCCTGAGCTCTGTGTGAAGATCCCTTTATGGCGCCGATGAGCCACAACCCAAATCCTGCAGAAAATTCCCTGCACCCCACCTTTCCTACAGGGATGGGGGGGTCAGGATTGCCCCCACGGTGTCAGCAGGCACCAGGAAGCAGCCACAGCACTCAGCAGGCTGTAATTAAGCGCTGGGGTTTGATTAATGAGGCTGGGGAAGGGGAGAGGGAGAGCTGGAGCAGCAGGGGAGGGATGGGGTGGCCTCGTGCCTGGAATGGGGCTGTGCCCCCCCAGCCCAGCACAGACCCTTGGCATCAACAGGGATGGCCTTGCCTTCCTCCTCCTCCTCCTCCTCCTCCTCCCAGGCCCACTCAGTGGTGGCTTTGCACTGGGATGCACAAGCCTGAATGCAGCTGGATTTTGGGGTGACTGGGGTGCACCAAACACACCGAGGGCTGCTGTGGTGCAGTGACCCCGAGGTTCATCCTGCTGAGCACTGGGGTGTTTTTAAAGGGTGCTGGGGGATCCCTGGGGTGCCAAGGGGGTCCCTGGGGTGCTGGGGCAGCCGGTGGGGTAGGAGATTGGCACCTGCCCTGCCCTGGCACTGGCACACACAGGCTGTGACCAGTGTGCAGGCATCCTCATGCCCATGCCACCGTTGTCCTTGACGGGCAGCTCGGGGCTGGGATTTGTCACTGCTGAGCTCTGCCTGTGCCCGGGGAGGGGGCCTGGATGGTCCCCAGTGTGGGGACACCCCGGGGTGACCCCAGAGCTGTGGTGCTGGGGTTTGGTGCCAGGGGCTGGTTTGGGGATCGCTGCAGCCCCTTGGGCTGGGGTAAAGGGGGCTCTGCTTGGGGTTCAGCCCCTGTTTTACCCCTTTTCCTTGGTCCCAGGTGCTTAAACCCCCTGGTGGCACTTAGCTTGGGGGACATGGCACATCCCTGCCAGGGGGGCTGTGAGGAGGGCGAGGGGGTCCCCCCAGTGCAGGCTGCCCACCGCTGATCTGGGGGAACTGCGCACCCCAAATCCCCGGCGAGAGTCACCCCCAAACCGGCAGCGCTCAGAGAGGAACGCGCTGCCACAGGAGGGCNTTCTCCTTGCCCCAGCTCGAGCCAAGCCGTGAGCGGGGATAGGGTGAGGGTGAGTCCTGGCTGCCCTGTGCCCGTGGTGCTGCTCACCACAAAGGGTCCCCTCAGCCCCAAGAGGCTGCAAAGAGCCCCAGGAAAGAGGTGAGGAGCGACAGCCCCCGGCCACAGGCCTGGCCCCCCTCCCCGGGGACACCCCCGGATGGCAAAGGTTGGGGAGGACGTCTGGGATGGGCGCGATGCGATGGGGACAAAGAACTCAAAATGGTGCGGATGTGGAACTCAGGATTAAGTACGGAACGAAAAACCGGAAAATAAAAATCCCATCTCACTTTCAAAGTCAAGGAAAAAATTAGGGCCTTGGTCAAGTTCGTTATAAGTCAACACTTTTAGAAGGTTCCCCATGTGAAACCTGCAAGAGAAGAAACAAGAGGAACAAAAGCATGATGGTGAGGTGGAGCCCGGGGAAGAGGCGCTGGGCTGCGGGCAGCGGCGGTGGCCGGAGCCCCGTCCTGCCCCCAATGCTCCTGGGGGGCTTGGGGGGCTCCGGGGGTGACCCCACAGCCCCGGTGCAGCCTCTTCCCCCCCGATGGTGATGAGCGCTGTGGATGGGTGATGGAGAGGGAGGAGCGAAGGGAGGAGAAGCTGTCGGAAAAACCCTGAAGTCCCCGGAGTTTGGTGACAGCCAAGCCCCATCTCTAGTGCAGAGGGGTCCTGGGGAGCCCCAGAACTGTGCCGGGGGCTCTGGAGGGGGCTGGAGGCAGGAGAAGGTTGTGCTGCCTCAAAGGAGCCAGGAGGAACAAGAAGGATCCTCGCTGTGGGAGTGGGGGGCTGTGTGACCCCAGCCCTGGTGTTTTGGGGGTGCTGGAGTCAGAGGCGGTGTGGGGAGCTGTGCATCCACTGGGGATGGAGCTGGGGACAGGGCTGGGGTGGGCAGACGCGACTGCGCTCTATTCACGGTTCTCACTCCTGCTCTGAGCTGTGCCCTGGAGGAATTCAGGAACCAGGGGAGCCCTGGGGCTGTGCCCAGCCTGGCATCCACCGTGTACCCCCCTGTGCCCAGCCTGGGGGGCCCAGAGCTGTCCTTTCCCAGATCCAGGGAAGCTGAGGCTGGTCCCTGCTCCCCATCCCTCGGCACAGGCTGCAGCCACCGCTCTGACCTTCCCAGCAGTGCAGGTGGNTGTGCTGAGCTGGTTTGTGACAGGCAGCTCTGAGATGTTGAGTCATCTCCCCAGGCCAGGCTGGGATCACTGGGGCAGCACTGGGAAGGAGGGCTGGGATTATCTGCTCCGGCTCCCGAGTGCAGTCAGATGTCCATACTGTTAGAGGTGGATTAAATATCCTTAATCGGTTTAATATGAACTTTGTTATCCCCACAGATTCATGTTATTCCTCTTCCCCAGTAGCCTGTTCTCTTCAGGAGCCCGTTTGGGATGGGCTGTGCTGGGCAGGGGCTGCCAGGCCTTGGTTCCCAGGTGTTCCAGGTGAGCAGGGTGTGCCACACTTCCTTGTCCAGTGGAGGGAGGACTCGTGCCTTGATCCTGTCAGCCCCACGATACAGGTGGGATTTCTACCTTAGACAGCTGCCATGGAGGGCAGTAGATTTGAGCAGAGCCAGGGCATCATTCCTGCCTGGAGCTGCTCTGCAAGGGAGGTCACTCTCGGTGCGTTGTTTGAAGGTCTCCAGGCAGGGGCTGGGATGGAGCTCCTGGCAGGGTCACACCAGTTCCTGCTGCTCTGGGCCCTGCAGAAAGGACAAACAATGCAGGAATCGCTCTCCAGTCCCAGCCAGGGCTCGCTGAGAAAGTTGTTGTGGTCTCAGGTTTCAGGCTGCTGTCAGTGCCGGGAGGTTTGGGGATGGGGAATGGCACTTCGCTCCATCTGCCCCGCGCTAATCCCCAGACAAACGCGGCTCTTCCATCTGTGCAGCCGGAGCCGCCGAGCCCATCACACCAGCCACTTAATCTAAATGGCTTTGGCCAAAGATAAGGTCATTAATTACACTGGGATTAGAAAACAGCCCCGGCGTGGCTTGGCTCGCCATCAATTAAAGCCCTCGGCACCCTGGTCTGGCTGAGCACGGAGCTGAGAGCCTGAGCAGGGGGAGCTGCGTGTCCCTGCTGGCCGGGCACCATCCCTCGATGGACACTGGCATTTGGACACGGTGCTGGCAGAGCAGAGGCACATTCAGAGCTCCAGGGGGACTCAAATCCTCATTTCCAGCACCTGATATGCATCCCTCTGTGTGCTGCCTCCAGCAGGGCCCCAGCCCCGATTGCTGCCCACACGGGTGGCACTGTCCCCAGAGCTCTGAGCTCTGATGATCAAGGTGTTGTACATCCCTTTTGGTTCCCTTTTCTCACCCGGTTTTGGCTCTGAAATGCTCCCACAGGGAAATTCTCACCCGTGCAGCGCTGCCCTTTGCCAGGGTGGCACGTGCCACCTGCTGTGCCCTGAAAGTGCCACCTTGGGGACAGTCCGGGCTGGGATGTGGCACGAATTTGGCCTCATCCCTCTCCTCACAAGCAAAGGGGGATGCTGTGGGCTCTGTGCCAGGAGCTGGCCGGCACAGGGACACTGGGACGCAGCTGCCACCTCTCCCAGCACCGGTGACCAGCTGGTGTCTGTGCCCTCACCCTCTGGTGGCTTTAAAGGATCCTGGTGGAGAGTCCTGCGTGGTGACGCTGTCCTGCCCGGTTCCCACACTGCAGGGACACTCCTGGGACACGCCAGGCACCGTCTGGGGGACGGTGTCACTTGGGGACAGCAGCTCCTGCAGACACGCAGCAGCTGCAGCCACCACAGAGCCGTGTCCTCAGCTCCCAGGTGGAATCCTTGTCCTGTGGGGGGGATTTAATGGGACCCTCAGGGTCTCTTTGGGCTCAGCAGGGCTTGGCTGGCACCGCTGCCACCACAGTGGGTCACAGGAACTCACAGGGAAACTGAGGCACAGCTGGCAGCAGGGCCCTGCTGGGGAGCCCGTGGCCCATCCACGCCTTGGCAGCATTTCAGGTGGCTGTGGCAAAGCCAAATGTTGCAAGAAACTAAAAATAAAAGGAGCTGTTGGCCGTGGTTGTGCAAGAGCCGTGTCCCCGTCCCGCCCTGCGCGGGAGCTCGGTGCCTTCGGCGGCAAACCCGGCCGGGCACGGCAGGATCCTGGCACCAATCCCAGGAAATGCCACTGCCCAAAGGGATGGGGGCTGTCCCCCCTCCTCTCTGTCCCCCCCGGGCAGCCCTGGGGCTGGGGAGGGGTCCATGGAAGTTTGGGGTTCCCATGGTGGAGCAATTCCATCTCAGGGATGCTGCCCAGCACACACAGGGGGCAGCGGGGAAACTGAGGCAGAGCCGCTTTGCAGGGCTGTGGTGTCACCCGTGGAGTGCTCATTGTCACCCCCCGGACGGGCAGGGCAGAGCGGGGGCACGGTGCCCGTTCCTGCCCTGTGCCAGGCGGGAAAGGCGGCGGGAAGGAGCGGGCTGGCAGGGCACCAAACCGCGGGGCACCCGATCCGAGCCACCCTGAGGACACTCTGAGGGTCCCCTGAGGGGTGACACAGCCCCAGCTCGGGGGGCTGTGGGTGCGAGGCCGGGTGGGTGCCCTCAGGGCTGGTTTGGCACGGATGAGACCACTGGGGCTGACTTGGCACGGGTGGGGCCAGGAGGTTTGGCTTGGCACAGGTGGGGCCAGCACTGACTTGGCTGGCTTGGCACGGGTGGGTGCCCCAGGGCTGGTTTGGCACGGCTGGGGCCAGCCGGGCTGCGTGTCGCGGTGTCACAGGGCCATCTGCCGGCAAAGGCACCGGCCCTGGCAGCCAGAACCGGCCTCCAGCAGCATCCCCAGTGCTCCCAGTCTGCAGCTGCAAGGAGAGGGCTGGGCTGGGGCTCTTGTCCCTCTTGGTCACTGTCAGAGGTGGCATTTGTCCCGCAGGGTGTCACGGAGAGGGGACACGGCTGCAGCCACGAACAGATTAAATGTAATTTTATTTCACACCCAAAAAAAAAAAATGTAGAAAAGAAGAGGTGAGTGTGGGTTTAATTGCTCGTATTAAAAATCTACCAGGTGAGACTGAGCCGTTTCCTCCAGAGTCAGTGCAGATCCACAGGGATACTTCTTCCTTCTGCTCCTCATCCTCCTCCTCCTCTTGGGGACCAGCATGGGGACAGGGGCACCAGCTGCCCCCTGCCCAAGGTGCCCCCGTGCCATGGGCACCCTGCTGCCAGCCCCACCAGCATTCCCTTGCCCGGGTCTCTCCTGCCTGGCCCCTGTCCCGTGTCCCCACGGTGCCACCCATGGTGTCACCCACACCTCGTGTCCAGGAGCAGGCGCTGATTTGGGGCTGGCAAGGGGTTGGGGAGGGGGGCAGGAGCCCGGACCCGGTTTGATTTGTTTTTAGCGTTTCTGTGCGTTCCTCGCTGTCCCTTTTCCCTCTGTACAAAATGAGCTGTATGGTCATGGGTGACACGGTGACTGCGGCCCCGGTGGCCACGCCGCCCTCACTGCAGCAGGGCCCGGATCTGTTTGGACGTGGTGTCGTCGTTGAGGTGCCGAGTGGTGTACCTGGGTGGGGAGGGGACACAGGTCACAGCAGGGTCCCTCTCTGCTGTCCCCACTCCCCGAGCTGTGTCCCCGAGCCCCCGCCTCACCTCAGAGCGTTCAGGAGCCCCTCGGTGCTGGTTGAGGGTTGGTCCTTCAGGACTTTAATGCAGCCTTTCATCTAAAGGGGGCACAGAGCAAAGCTCCATCAGAGAGGGGCTGTGATGCCACAGACATATTTTGTGAAAAATCCTTTCCTTAGGATTTTTTCTCCTGAGAAGCTGAAAAGCCTCAGGAACAAAATGTAAACATTGGTTATCTGCTGCTGTGGAACGCAACAGGTGCATCTGGGATTGGTCTCATAGGGTTGTTTTTAATTGATGGCCAATCACAGTCCAGCTGTCCGGACTGTCTGGTCAGCCACAAGATTTTATTATCATTCCATTCTTTTCTATTGCTTGCTAGCCTTCTGATGAAATCCTTTCTTCTATTCTTTTAGTATAGTTGTAATATATAATATAGTATATAGTATATAGTATATAGTATATAGTATATAGTATATAGTATATAGTATATAGTATACAGTATATACTATATACTGTAATAATATATATAATAATATATATAATAATAATAAATTATTATATAATAATATATCATAATATATTATAATATATAATAAAAATATATAATAATATAATATATATAATGAAATAATAAATCAGCCCTCCGAAACATAAAGTCAGATCCTCATCACTTCCCTCATCCTGAGGCCCCCAGTGAACACCACCACCCTGAGACCCCTGGGATCCCCTTTCCGCCCCATCCTCAAGCCCAAGGATCACAGCTGCTGTGGCGTGGCTGTGACCCCCCAGCTGTGACCCCAAAACCACTCACATCAATCTTGGAGGTCTTGGCAAAGGCCCCCACGGGGTGCACGTGGTCATAGAGGATGATGACACCGACCATCACCCTCATGCAGAAGAGCAGGGTCTCGGTGTTGGTGAAGCGGCTCCGGTACTCCCTGGGTGAGCAGAGAGGCTGCCTGAGCCTGGCAGAGGTGGCACGGGGACCCCAGGAGCAAGGTGTCCCCCCCAAACCCCAAAGTGGGGCACTCACGGCGTCTCCAGCATCACCCTGCACACGCAGGCCATGGTGCTCAGGCAGTCAGTCGTGTCCTCAATGGGGAGGGTCTTGTTCTGAAAGCCAACATGTCCCAGCTGCTGTTTGCCCCGTGTGTGGGGGCTGGAGGGGGTTTCTGCCCCCACTGAAGGTCCCCCCAGCCCCCCTCACCTCTGACACGAACTTGGTGGTGGCGTTGCTGAGGGTTTTCAGCATGGGGGTGGCCTCGGCGTAGAACAGGGACATCCTGTTGGCCATCTCGTTGTTCACCTCGCTCTCAGCATCCAGCTGGGGGTGTGCTGGGGGTCACTGGGGTGGCTGAGCCCCCCCAAAGCCATCCCCAGCCCTGTGAACCCCTGGGGGAGGCCGGGGGAGCAGCAGAGTCCTCCCACCTGCAGGTTGTTGATGCGGTTCCGGCTGATGGTCCGTCTGTAGTAGCTGAAGTCGTTCTGGATGGCAGGGTTGGTCATCTGAAGGGGGGACACCACGGTTAGGGGAGCCAAGGGACTCGCAGGGTCCCGGTGTGGGGTCCCCCTCGCTGTCACCCCGCACGGGGAGGCACCTTGAGCTCGTCGAAGCTGAGGGTGAAGTGCAGGATCTCGGCGAACTGCTTGGCCAGGGCCTGCTCGCGCTCCAGGTGCTGGGTCGGGGCGTAGNATGCTGCTGCAGGAGTGGGGAGGGAAAAGCTGTGGTTGAACTGCACAGCTGTGTCCCCCACAAACACCCTGCTGTCCCCTCTGCAAACCCAGGGCCAATATCCCGTTCGAACCCGGGCTCATGCAGGTTTTGGGATGCCCAAATTTGGGTGCTGTGCCGGTGTGGTCAGCCCTCCATGACCCCCACACCGCGGCTTGGGGTGTCAGGGCCCCAAAAAGGACACCCCAAGACCACACCGTCGCCCTGATCCTCATCCCTGGGGCTCCCATGCCTCTCCCAGCCCCTTCAGCTCCCCCTTCTCAAGCTCTCAGCCCTGGCAGCCTGCGCCGCTGCAATTAAACTCTCATTAATTTTTCAGTCCCCCCGAGCACCCCGGGCACGGGCGGTTTGCAGAGCTGCTAATTGGTGTCTTCTCCACATCCCAGAACAGCCAGAGGGGCCGGGGGAGTCTCAAATCCCACCCCCAGCTCTCAGGGACGCTCACGGAGAGGCTTTGGGGCCACACTGAGCCCAGCAGAGGCTGTGGGGAGACCCAAAATCCCAGAATCACCTCATTCCTGGCCAGGGACATGGCACAGGGATGTCACATCCAGCCCTGGGGGGGAGCCCAGCCCTCCTGTCCCCAGTGTTGAGGGGGATGAAGCCCTTCAGCCCCACTGCTGCAAAAATTTGTGGGTTTTGTAACCCAGCCCTGAAGCTGGGACAGTTTCTGCCACTTCCTGCAGCCCTCCCTGCAGAAAAGGTGGGTGCACCTGAGGGCAGGTGCCTTGGAGAGGGGCTGAGCACCCCATGGCACCCCACAGACCTCTGGGGATGGGATCCATGGGATGGGATGGGATCCATGGGATGGGATGGGATCCATGGGATGAGACGGAATGGGATGGGATGGGATGGGATGGGATGGGATGGGATGGGATGGGATGGGATGGGGAACAGCCCTCGCTGGCCAAACGCTTCATCCAGGCCCAGCAGATGCAGAGGGACAGCTCTGGATGGGCCCAGTGTCCCTGGGATCCCAGCAGGATGCCAAGGTCACCGGGAAAAGCGCTCGGCGATCTCCATGGAAACATTCCCCGTTTGGTTCTGGAGATCAGAGTGGTTTTCTTGTCCCTCTCTCCTGTGTGCCTGTGCCAAGCGCTGAGCCCCCGGCGTGTCCCGGTGTCCCCAGTGCGGGCAGTGAGGGGCCAGCATCCCCCTGATCCCACTGCCCACATCCCTCTGTCCCAGCATCCCG